TTTGTACATGGAGAGATGAACAGAAAGATTGCACAGAACTAGGTGTACTGTATCAGTTATACTAATCATAATCAGTGCAGGGTTGCTGAGCAGGGAGGAGTAGTTGTGGTGGATCACTGCTCTAATTTCACTAGCAGTTTCCTTTGATGATGAAGAGAAAACATATTCATGCACTAACACTATTGAGTTGAGTTGCCGAGTCAGCAATTGTCCCCTTCCCACTGATACTACCGTAAATTAAGTATTTTGATTAGTATTAAACTGTTATGTGTTTAGAGGTAAGACATTGACATTATACTTAATACTAGTTCATATGACATTTAACTATATGTTATTATAGCTATCACAGTGACACACTACTGAAGTCTGATATTAATGTGATAATAAGTCTCATATAATAGCAGTTATTGTATACAAAAGGAAGTGAAACAATAATATATGAATGTGTTTACTTTCAGTACTTTCTTCAACAACAAGAGTACCTACTACTCTTGTTGAAGTGTGTTACTACTCTTGTTATTCTACTGCCTATAGAAATTTGTGCCCATGTGAGCTCAAGCATTTGATTGGTCAGATTAATTTACAAAGGCTATTAATAATGACCACCAAGTTGAACCAACATGCAATTCATTGTAGTCTTGGAATTACTTCATAGGTCTGGTAGCTATGTGTGCTTTTGTTTAATAAAAATGAAGAGAAAATATATTCATGCACTAACACTGTTGAGTTGTTGAGTTGAGTTGCTGAGTCAGTACTTGTCCCTTTCCCACTGATACTAATTCTTCATACTAATACTACATGTAGCTTTAGATCTTCAAGGAACACTAAGGAGCTCCCTTGATAGCTGCTGAATCACATACAAACATTAAAGTACAGTACATGTACAGCCACACTGCTTCACTATCAACACATAAATTCAGTTCCTTAGACCATGATTTAAAGCAGCAGTTTCCAGAACTTCAAGAAACAATGTCCATGTACACGTATACTTGACATTAGACAAAGATAGCTTTAATCATTGCTATTAAAAAGCTAGACCAAAATCATGATGCATCAACCATATCAAATCTTACAATAGTCACACAACATCGCTTTGATAGAACATTACATGTACATGTACATTGTACATGTAGTTACTATAAATAGATTATCCCTATACCCATTAAGTTACTATAAATAGATTATCCTTATACCCATAAGCTACTATAAATAGATTATCCCTTTACCCATTAAGTTACTATAAATAGAATATCCCTATACCCGTTAAGCTACTATAAATAGAATTTACTATAAATAGAATTGCTTACTTATCAGGCCCAGTAGTTTCCCCTAGACCAGATGAACCAGCATCAGTACTAGCTCCTGAAGGAGAAACTATCATACAGTGAACTGCATACCAATGATAGGCCAACAGGACAACAGGTCGTTCCAATAACAATCGAAACGTTTTGTTTCGTTCACAAGTGTAGCCTTTCTCCTCCGCTGAGACAAGGAGGGTTCCCTCACCTTCGTCTGGAGAATCACCAACTTCTAAAACCTGTCAATAACGTACATACATGTATAATCATTTTACATTACGCAATGTAAAAAATAAGAATGATGATGATTACCGTATAGTGGGAAATTTTAGAGGGATTAAAATTTGGTGAATTGCTAAACTTCGGTGATTGGCAGATTTTTAATTTGGCGAATTTGTGGCTACATGCCATTGAGCATGCGTATAATGGCTCAAAATGGCAGATTTTATTTTGGCAAATGGCTATCAAACTGCCAAAATCGCAAAAAAAATTTAATTCCCTCCAAAATTTCTCGCTATACAGTAATACATGGTATACAGGAGTGATACCTATCATGTTTAAAAGATCACTTTATTCATTAACACCAAAGTACATGTACATGTATTGCGAATGCTTTCTTAGTCACATGACTATCACATGTACATGTACATGTAACTTACTTTGACTTCAACGTTGTATTGGCCACGCCCTCCATAAAGACCGAACCCACCTAGGAGTATGTCCTGATCAGGACTGAACAATATTGCTTCTATCGATCCAGCATTGTAACCCCACCCACCACCATGAGCTACAATAAACAAACAAAACAAATAATAAATAAAATAAATAAATTATAATTAATATTGTCTGATTTTTAATATAATATTGTCTGATTTTTAATACAATGTAGCCTCTATATAATGGACACTTGGTACAAGAAAGTGTCTCTGTTATACAGAGGTGTCCTTTATGTGGAGGTTATTTTATACAGTAAGGAATGTAATTGGTACACTAGGTGCTGTCCGTTAAATGGAGGTGTACGCTATAGAGAGTGTCCATTAAGAGAGGCTATACTGTACATGTAGATAAATAGCTAAGGAAATACATTTGTACATGCATGACCAGTTGCTACTATTGTACATGTACTGTACATGTACTTACAATTAAATCTTGAGACAATGTGATAGTCGTCAACAGAGAAAGACTTCATCTTCCTCCCAGTCAAAGCTTGCAATGATAAAGGAGGATTAGTGGAGAGTGTGTGTAACGACGACAAGAGATTCAT